GGGATGGGGACGCGAACCCGCGACCCGCAGATTGCGAGTCGAGCGTCCTGTCCACGTGGCCATGCCGGGCCGAGGTGTGTTTAGACTGTGAATACCAAAGATCATGGTTTGCGGCCCGTTGCTCCAAAAACGTGCTCAGCGCTTTAGGGGGTCATTGATATACTATAGCAATGACAGCCAAATCTCACTATTTGGTCAGAAAAGAGTAACCCCAAAGTTTGTACTGAGTGCTCTATTGATTAGCTATATTCCCTCTAACCTGTCAACTCGAAATTCGGGACGGTTATGCGCAGATAATCGAGTAGCTTTGCAGAAAAATTCTGAAATAAGCAGTCAAATTATTTTTATATTTTGGATAGATTTGTGCACATAAATGTTGTATGTGTATTATGTTACTTGGAGAGAAATTATTGTCATAACTGCTGTGCATATTTTTTGTATAAACATTGTGATTTCTTACTTCACATCCAGTATATATCTTGGATTTTGTTACAATTAAATAGATCTAACAATTAAATATATTTTTCTTTTCTATTTTTCAATAATAGCTATCATACACTTTTTAACAACCCTCTACTTCTTATAGTTGTCATTCTTTGATCTTTTAGTCTTGTATCAGATAGGCATGCTCTTACAGTCCTTGCATTTGCTGTTTATAGAGAGATTCAATTATAGAGATCGAATTTATAGCTTTTTTTGTTGTTGATAGATATGCTTATACAGATGCCTTGAATCTCCAATCTGTGGAAGATGCCATTCTGACAGCAACAGCTGCTAAAAAGTATCTTCTGCCCCATTTGCTTCGGGAATGTTTCAATTTCATTGAAAGAAATGTTACACCACAAACCGTATGTCAAGTGTTGGAGTTCGCCAACATGATGGAAGCCCATCATCTGACTTATCAATGTCTTAATATCATCGATCGACAAACATACCACGTGATTACATCTCCTGATTTCTCCGATGTAAGCTTGTCTGTTCTCGAAACCATTGTCCACAGAAGACATCTCAATCTGCATAGTGAATATTCTTTATACAACGCTATCTACATGTGGGGAAAAGAAGAATGTAAGAGACGTTTTGTAGAATCAGATATAGATAATATCCGTAACATACTGAACTCAACGTTACCTTACATTCGGTTTCTAACAATGACATCAGAAGAATTTTGCAAGGGTCCAGCAAAGTCGGGACTCCTTTCTAAGGATGAATGTCTTGGTGTATTTATGAATCTCGCTATTCCGAGAATTGTAACAATGCCTCTAGGACTAAGTACCGAGACAGATAAACGTACTAGTCCGCCAGAATATTTCGTTTGTTGTCTTTATAAGCCGTTGTCCTATCATACACCAGTTCGACCACTCCGAATTTTTGGGGTAACCTTCAGAGTTACCAACATGGATGTTTTTGTGGTTGGTTTGGGGCTTCCCATCCGTTTAGATGTGAGTTACTACTCTATAAGACAGCCTAAGGTTGAGGGATTGTTACGTTGTACCTACGGACTACACGAGGATCGACCTAACAAAGAGGAGATCGCTGTAAATTTCGTTCTGTCTAAGGGTAAAGATGTGAAGATTATGTTTCGGAAACCACTTTTCGTCCATAAGAGTATGCAGTACATAATTGAACTTAAGACGACATCACCTCTCACTGAAGACGCCATTGCACCGATCATTCGAGACCGGAAGCGAGATGTAAAGGTGGAGGATGTCAGTTTTCAGCTACTGCCTTTTCAAAGTGAAAGTCATCCTCGCAAAGCAGAAGTTATGGAGTTTTCAGAGATTTTTTTCTATATTTGAAATCTAAATCTAAAGAATCTGTAACGGCACGTAGGATAATATAGTGAACCAGTAGTCTTATTGTGTAGCTTTTATTTGTTCTACTTCTCTTTTAAAAATTCACATATATATAGATATACATATATATTTATGCTTCATTTAACGAATTTAGGACTATGGTTAAGTCTACAGGTGAAGGAATTTAGCTTGCCTTAATGGTAGGCCAGTACTAAACCGATTAAGCTAACAATTACCTGAAAGTAGGAGTAGTAGCTTTCTTTACTAGATCAATACAAGTTTCTGATAAGAAGGGTGTAAAATAACATTGTGATTATGCCTTGTTGTTGTACATTACTAACAACAAGGCATTTCGCCCATACCAGAGTTCAACACACTAAATGTTATATTACACTAGCTAAGGCATTATAAACTCTTAGAAATTGTATCTCGTAAGGCCTTGTGAGCTCTGGTATTTAGCCAAAAGCCTATTCGGCACTGACAGACAATAAACAAGATATAATTAAATTCTATTATACATTCTTCTTATTGGATATCTGTATTGAGCCGGTAGAAAACGATGTGATTTAGATTAATATCAGTCTTATGGTGGTATAATATTACATGTATCTTACTAGTAACCTTCATACTACGTAAGCCACGACGTTCTGCGTCTTAAAATTTATAGTTTCTTCAATGATTGATATATATAAAGTCAAATGTGTCTGTTGTAACCCTTGCGACAAAAGATGATCAATGGTATTGATTGAAGACCTTGCTGTCAGCAGTATACAACAACAATGTACGGTTGAAAAGCTATAATACACTCTTCTTACTGAAAACCCGCGTTGGGCCAGTAAAGAATGATGTGAATGAAATTATAACTAGTCTTATGTAATACCACACAAATATTTCTATTAAACGAAATGCTACACAAGGATAGGCGTTTTACAACGTAAAACCGTACTTAAACGACTGATATAAATAGCGTCTCAACAAAAACTTGATATGTTAAACCCACTCTGACTGATGAGCTCTGAAGGCCTAGTTAGCAGTGGCGCACAACAAACAAGGTATAGTTGAAATGCTATTATACACTCTTCTTACTAAACATTAGTATTGGACCAGTAAAGAACGATGTGATCTAAATTAGTATCAGTCTTATTGTGATATAATATCACATATATGTTACTACTAAACGGCATGCTATGCAAAGGAGGACGTTTTATGCCATACGATTTGTAGTCTCTTCAATGGCTGATGTCCATAAGGTCTCGAAAACTCTGTTGTAACCCAACCGACCAGTGATATTGAGCGAAGGTCTTGCAGGAAGCAGTATACAAAAACAAGGTAGGGTTGAAATGCTATAAAGTATAATACGTACTTGAAACCCGTAATAGGCCAGTAAAGAAATGTGTTACTTAAATCATTATCTCTGTTATTTTAATTTAATATCATACAATTTTTTTATAGAAAACAAAGTTCAGAATTTAGCCTAATCGATTTAAAACCTGTGTACTATCACATCAAACCAGATTCGAACCTGCTAATGCAGTGTGACTTGACATGAATTAATACTTACGTCTAATATAGCCATATGGATCAAAGGCATTCGAAAAGTAGAAAAATGTGTTTCTTTATTTGGTTTTTTAGCTTACTGATGCAGCAAAATAAGTATCAGCTTTGTACAACAGATGGCGAAATTATAGATATTAATCGAATTAGCAATTGTTTGTGTATGCTTTATAGTAATAACAATTATTTACCTACAAGTGTAAGAGGATTTTTTAGAGTAAGTCAACATTGTTTGTTTGCTTGTTATTATGTTATCGAACCGACAGACCTTTGCTGTTGTGTTATTTTTAATGTAAAGCAAACTGAACTGCAAGAGTGATTTAATCTACTCAGCCATAGGCCTGTCTATACTAAAGGCTTCTTCTAAGAAAAATAATGGAAATAAACGATAAAGACAAAAATATATACAACTAAGTAAATTAGAGTAGTTGTAGAACATATTTAGTGATAAGCATAAAGCTACACATTTGGTTATTAATGTTGGACCAATTACATAGATTGAACGCCGAATTTTGGTGTTAGAAACTTTCAGACTTTCTACTGAGCTACTGAGAGTAATAGCTAAAATATAAAAACCAAAGAAAACGCATCATTACTCGATTTTGGTAGAATTGTTATCCAACAAACCTAAGTTCAAGTTGCTTTTAGAAACGTGTTATGAAACAGGCACGAAAATTTAGAACCCGGAGAGTTAGGCTTATTTATGTTCTCTCTTTTTAAAAAAAAATCAATTACATATTTTCTTTTTTTATGCGAAACAATTTTAGCAGGATCTGTTTTAAATAACGGTATATGATTGTCTGACGAAAATATGGTCTTGCAGAAAAATTAATATTTTCAAATAAAAAAGGCAATAATGCCATAATATTTTTAATCAAAAAGTTAACGACAAATTGTAGTACCAAGGTTATAATTTTCTAAAATGTTATCAAAGAAATGATGAATCTCTATCAAAAAAAAGTGTTAAACAGCAGCCGCAAGACTTTTTTCAGTGCATCACAGAATTAAATTGAACAAAAAGCATAAACATATTCCCCTGGCGTCATAAAAGAGATGGTGTTTCACTGAATCTCAAATAACAATTTCGTGAGCTTGTAAATACGAGTATATGAAATAAAATGTCTGTTTGGATTGTTCTAATAGGTGTTTGTTTTTATCATAATTTAACTTTACATCAGAATTATTTGCGATTGGTGCCATAAGCCCTCCACCCGTCACTTGCTCATTGTCTTAATTTGCTGTTTTTATTCACCTTATAAGGGCTCCATGGTGTGTTTAACGTTCCATTACCCACAGCACAGATATCCAAATTTTGCAGATTTGCTATTAACTAAATGAAACATTTTACCTTTTTTTCAGAGTCATCCTCGGTAAAATGTCGAAAGACTAGTAGGATTCATGTATTTTAAACGAAAATTTCAACTTTGTTAAAACTCACAATTACTTCTCTAGATTTAATTGTAATTTAAATTTGTGAAATGTGTTTGTGCATAAAACTGGTAAATAATTGAACTCTTTGAATTACTTGATTAAACGACATCAAGATAGAACTGCTGTATACGTGTTTTGTATATACTGTACATTAAGTTTCAATAAAAGTTGCAAAAAATATAGTAGCGAATTCTTTTCAATAATTTTACGTTGGTGTTTGGAGCTGCTGAATCATTTATACGAGCCAGTTTATAATAATCTCGAATAATGTGAGTAAATTATGTTATAAATATTGAAGATGTCGATAAACCAGATTTACAATGAATTATTAAACAAAAGGATTTGGCTCCAGATCTTCTCTATCTTAAGGTTCGAACTTTTTTATTATATATTAAACTAAGCAGAAGTTATAACATTATATTAATAAGTGGTTGCGTATGAATCTGTACAAACACTTAATATATACATAAATCTTATTAACTCGCATATTTACAATCAGTCTTCATTAATAACTATTAAGTTTGATTAGAGGTAAAAAACTAATTTTGTAAATATGATAAACCTTTATATGAGATCGGTAACTTTAAATACATCACCATACTTTTGGTTTATTGATTAACAGACTTCAGCAGTACGGCACCCCCAATAGGAAGACGAATAAATTCAATATTCTGATTACAATATGTTACTTCATGGTTAAACAAATTTCATCATTACGTATTTGAGTTCACAGTGAAACACATTTTACCGATAAGATAAACATGAATTCAAGATTAATGAGTTTTTGTTTTGATTTTTCACAGAAAAAATATGGACACAATAAATCAAAATACAAGATTCACTAACAGAAACTTGTTAAATCATATTGCATTTGTTGGTGAAACACATTTTACTAATACAAAGAAACTAAACAATAATCAAACATAACGTTAGAAACCTTGTGTTATTTTGTAGTAAAAACACTTTATTAACACGAAAACTAAACACATTAATATCGATAAATGTTCTTTCGTTCAGTGAAATTCATCTTATAAATGACACAAACCTAAATATGAAGGGCCAAGCACACACCCAGTGGTAAGTGTGTTGGACTGTGTATCGGAGGTTCCATTGTTCGGGCTTCGTTGTCACTCGCCCAAAGCATTTTGGGGCCGTGGGTGTAATATAAGATTGTCTGTCAAATCTTACTGACAAGATCTGGCGATGGGTGTGGTGTTAACTAGCTGCCTTCACTCTAATCTATCATTTTAAATTAAGGGACGTCTAGCGAAGATAGCTCTCAAGTAGCTCTACACGAAATTAAACAAACAAACAAACAAACTAAATATAGTATTAACTTGTGAGGTAACATAACAATTTTAGAAGCATTAATAAAATCACAAGAGAACAAATTCATCCCCACATTAGGTTACCAAACCAAAACCATGATCAGCTAAGAAACATTTCGCTCAATGTCAGCTTTCATTAGCCCAGCTAGGCTGGTTTTAATAAACTAGTTAAGCAGAAGAGCTTTATAAAAAGAATTAATTCTGAGTAAAATAGACCATGTTATAATCTGAGCACCTTAGCCAATATAACTTTATACCCTTTTAAATGGCTCAGAATAATTTGAAGATTTTCTCATTTAATTTGCAGTTGTTCATTTCTGTATCTGTTATACATTATCTGCACAATAAGCTCAGCATACAAATGAGTTCTTCGAGTTTTTTTTCATGTTAATGACCTTGGTTGTTAATTGGCATTACTTTTGAAACTCTGTTGGCCGAGTTCGTAAACGTTGAAAAAATTTTTGTATTGTTCTACTTCGTTAGGCTTTATATGAGATCGATTTTTTATTACACGCTTTTCTTCAAACCCGAAGAACGCAATGTTCATTTAGGCTCCTGTTCATTATCATATAACATGGTTTTATTAAAAAAAGAGAGGTTGTGTGCTAAATGTATAACACAATGAAATCCATAAGCAACAGCTGAAACCAACTGTAACATCGAACAAGCTTTCCGACGAATGTACACAAC